ACACACACACACACACACACACACACACAATAAGATCATAGCCATCTAAAGCCATCTCACATTGTCCCCACAGTAGAAACAGGTGCTGTGTTGATGGTGGCAATTTTATCACCAAAACAGTAGGAAGAAATGAACAGTAGTGTACACTCTGTGTGTGTGTGTGTGTGTGCACCATGTGTTATGCTGGTCTAATCTTCTGTCACAGCCCAGTTGTAGGAAACGTGTCCCTGACATGCAGAGGATATGCCAACAAAAGTGAAACTAATTTCAATTCACCTGACGGGGCATTGCAAATAAGCACAGCCACTATCCTGTTCAAATACCTATTACACTGGCCTGGATGTGCAACTTGCAGACAAGGAATACTTCTCCCCTCCTCTTGGATGTTTTTGCAATTATGCACTTTAGCTGGATGAAGTGCACAGAGAGGCAAATTATCAGCAGGCTGACGAGCGAGTGTGTCCGTGAGGTTGGCTGCTGCAGGGATTAAAGCATGTGAGGCAGGAAACGTGGGGCTGATATTCAGGGCCTGAGCAGGATTTCAGGAGGAAAAAGAGAGGATACAAGATTACATATGGTTATTTCATCGCGTCTGTTTTGTTACTCGAAGGAGACTTGTTTCACGTGCTGCCTCAGCCAATCACTGAGCTTCAAACAGACAACGTTTGGGAAAAGGTGTGTGTGTTGGTTGGTCCCGCATTTTGGGTTTAGATCTTGGATTTTCAATAATTAGGTCCAGTCAGTGTGCAAAACACACACACAATTCAAATTACTGGAAACATGTAGAATAATGTATAAATACACAACTCAACATATTTCTTTTTGACATTTTACTGTGGCGAATTTACATACTATAATTTTTAATAATTAAAATTTAAAAAAATGAAACACTGGTTATTGATCTTACTCAAACAAACAAATATTTTTTAACGAGAAAAAACCCGTAGTTTGAACTGTTAACCAGACATGATCAATGTTCAATAACCTTCATACAAAACAAGACATGGCAAAAATGATCCCTGTGGTTTATGGAATTGAAGGTAGATGAGATTAAAAAGAAAGTTGGATGAAGAATTTGGACGTTTATTTTATTCACCATGCTTAAACATCTCTTTTCTCTGCTCCTTTTCCACAGTTGTCTTTTGTACCTTTCCTTCAAAGCTTTTAAGGCTTGTCTGCCTTTTATTATTTCTAATTGTTCTCTCCTCTCACATCCTTAAAAGTCTACAATATGTATTTTAGGATTCTTTAATGGGAGTTCAAATAGAAGATGGCGTGTATTATAAAGAGGTTGTTCCCTCCTTCGTTTGCAGTGTAGTTTGCTTTAAAAATGACAAAACATCGTCTGAGCAGCCTCTGGATACATCAGCAGAAATGTTAAGAAAAGTAAGTAATAAATGACTCCACACGCGTGAATTCTGTCCTGTTAATTCATCTATTATTCTGTAATGAAACATCCAAGCATTTGCTTTTACCTGAGTCCAATTCACACAGATAGACTGGCTCTTCTAACAAGTGTACTTCCTGTTCTTGGCAGAGACTGAATGTAAAGATGGATGAGGCGTCTCCACTTAAGTGCCATCTTTAGCTGCTGTCATAATTGGGGAGTCTGCACGGCAGGTCCGGCAGATTCTCGCCTTCAACCAATCATCAGACCATCTCAGCTGTCAATCATGACTTCTCACCGCGTTTCTATAGCATCCAATAACAACTTAGAACCAAACTTATCAAACATGTCAAGTCTAGAACATACATCAGTGTGAACTATTTAAAATGAAGGAAACCGGGCGTCTCAGGGAGCTGCTCTTCTAGATATTTGGAGTCTCGTCTATTCTCTCCAGATAATGCATGCAGTTCACAGCAGAGTAGACAGTCCATGTTATCTTTCACTACGGTTTCAATGTCAGCTTGTCGAATATGTCCAGCGTTTCTGTTGACTGAAATCCTTCATTTGTTCTATCAAGGATTGATCGTATGACAGGAAGATGCATGGCTTCATACCGTAGAGTCCTGGTGTTTAGTTTTGAGAAGTTTTATCCAAGGGAATACAGTAGTCATACCAGAAACCCAAGTACCAGCTCCACTGCAGACACGCAGCAGACATAATCTCTGTGAAATTGCATCCAGGAGGGATGGGGGTGGGGATTAAGACCTATACTGCAGCCAGCCACCAGGGGGTGATGGTGAGGATTTGGCTTCAGTTTCAGAAGCCCTCGTGTTGTCGATCTTTATACACAGTCTATGGTTCTTTATCGACAGTTTTAACACGCCCTACTTCTTTTTGTTTTCTGACAGTTGTATTTCCACGTTTGTACACAAATGCATTTCATTTGGAGAGAAAAATGAAGACACAGAGGAGAAGAGGTTGATGGAGTGATGAAGAGGAGGTGTGTCATTCGTCAGACATGCTAAAAGTGACACTGGTCATATATCTGAAGGGGCTCCCTTCTCAATCCCCTACATAATTAATAACCAGCTTATCCCTATAACTCATTTTGCATCATCACTGACAAGTATGGTGTCACCTGACTATACATGCCACAGCGATGAAGAATTGCTTTGTGGGATTGTAAACAGGATGCAGTGTACATGTTAAATACATTTTGTATTCCACCGTGGACATTTTCAGAGCATAGTGCAGCGTTAACATCTTACACTCTTACACATCCACATGACTATGTTTGTGTTTGGAAAACTGCAGGGCAGCATTTTAGTCTGGACAGCCAGAAACACAAATGTTTGGAATCTACAAAACCACTTGTTGATTGGGTCTTTTCGGTTACAACTTAGCCTTTGCTGATTCGTCAGGCTCCTATCACATGACCCTTTTTTCTAGAAGAACAAAAACGGCATCAGCCACAGCTAACAGTGTAGAACGCAACATGGATTATCATGTGCAAGCGTTGCTGACCCTGTTGTCTTTGTAACAGCTGTTGTGCAGTTCAATTCTGCATTTTACCATGATGTTACTAGAGTATTCAAATTGATACGGATTCAAAATGCTTGCGTGGAGAGAGATCGACAGAGAAATCGTGTTTTCAAACCAAAAGTTTGTCATTTTGATGTAGCCTTAGAATTGTGACAAAGTTAGTGAACTTAGACCTCACAGCGAATCCTTCTGACATGACTCAGAGGTTTGTCTCGTTCAGGAAGAGTGCTGGGAGGAGTTCAAAGTGATACGACAGGTAGGCCCACAGATCACCTGTACTTGTGACACACAGTGGCTCGTGCACAAAATATGTTTTGGGGAAGAAAACAGCTTTTTGCACGGTTACATAGTGTTGATATGTTGTGATGCTCTATTTGTGTGTTTTCAGCCCCTTACGAAAACTGTAACCAAGCAACGGACTTTCAACAACTTGTCAACGCTACAGTTCGAATGTTCTCAAGAGCTGACGACTATGACTGTGACTAACGCTCATTACGACAAAGCACAGGTTGTAAGTTTGGTGGGACATTATGACAGTCCAGTCTGAAAACATACGAAACAACCCAATTCTTTTCTTCACTGGTTAGAAAACAAGACACAAAGATGGGACACAAAAAAAAAAAAGGCAGGGTAAGTGAGGAGAAACGTTTCTGGACAGTTCCGCAGTGACAGGAAGAGCCAGAGATGTCTCACTGTCAGTGACCACAATTCAGTACACAACAATGAAACCAATAGTAACACAAACTTGTGTGGAATGAGTGTACAGTATTTAACCAAGAAACAACAGTAACATTGAAACAGTAATCTTTATTATATAATGACAATAACAACACAAATGTACTTGTCCTGTAAACAGATGGGATTTGACACAAACTATATTCTGAGGTATTTAGTTAAGGAGTGCAGATGAATCAGTGGTCCAGCTTCTTCCAGCAGGAACATTATCAGTATGGAACTACAGATCAACTCTGCAGTGACAACATAAAAAACTCCCATTGTATTATAATATTTCATGAAACTCTCCTGGAGGTAAAGACTATCAACTTGCACCTGTTGCATGTCGTTCAGTGAGCTCCGTCCGTTGACCTGACACCTGTCTTCGTGTGGCTTATTGTAAAGCTACACAGTTCTGTTTGCTTCCGACTGGAAGGCTGTTAGCTCTTGTTTATTACAACCTGCAATGTTGCATCACTATCTTCTCTATATGGCATTATGTTTAGGTTGTGCGTGACATCTGTAGCCCTGGTTTAACTTTGCACATGAGAATGTAATAATCTCAAGATCACAACTATGGAATCTGATTTTCTCCCTGATCATACTGGAGTTATCTTAGAAGGCCTGGCATCTCAAGTAATAACAGTTGGCTTTGATAGCTGAGCTTGTTCTGCCGCATGTTAAATACCTATATCGTATTATGATGAAATATCAAATGGTATCTTATCATGGTTTGATAGTTGAGTTTTTTGGAAAATGTGCAGAACTGCTTTTTTCTGAAACTGAGATGAGGACATGGATGTTAATCTCATGTCAGTGTGTGGAGGCTGAGTCAGGAACAAGTGGTTCCAGTAATGTGACAGAACTATTTCTTGACAAACTGCAGTTTACCCACACACACATTACGTCTGCGCAGCACCTTTCCGAGCTGGTTTTGGTCTCATGCACAATGAATATTGCAAATAAGAAACATTTAAGAGATACATAATTATCTGACAGTATATTCTGAACTTGAGAGTAAAAACAAACAAAACAAAAATGTACTTATCTTAAATAAAAGAAACCCAATTATGACATAATCATGAGAAATCGACCTCAGCACATGTAAAAGTTCTGGTGTTAAAAAGCATCACGATGTATTGGGCGTGTGTGTTTGTGCACATATTTAAATTGATTCATTACACAATGTATCACAAACCAGCCCGGAGTCATCTGTTGCGGCGTGTTGCTGATGCTCAAGTCTGAAGTCCATGTGTGTCAGTGCAGAAATGGCAGCAATGCAGTGAGCCAGCGTACCGACATGAAGCTCTTCACCCACAAAAACAGTTCATAGAGAGTGAGTTTCCCCAGGCTGAGAGTTTCAGCCAGCTTTATCTGCAGACGCCTCCTCCTGGACTGAGCCTTGCTCTTCTTGTGCCTGTCGACAAGATCGGCAGAAGGACCGGGAACATGTTAGTCATAGTTTATAGAGACAGGGTTTCTTAAAAAAAAAAAAAAAAAGTGACGTGACGTTCAGACAGCTGCGTGCAACATTAGTGCATTTTCAATGACTTGCTTTGTACTTGGGAATGTTTAGTAAAGACTGAAAAGTCTGGACCCGGTCTGAACCCTGTCATGTCTTTTTCATATTGTACATATTTTACCACTTGATTTGATAAGTCTTGGTTTCACATTGTAATTAAGAGAGCGCACAAAAGACTTTTGAATGACATACATACGCCCTTCCATCAATACCTATGAGGGCTGCGTCTACCTATACTTGACATGCATCTGACGTTGGCGTGTTGTCAATTCAGCTAAAATGCATAGAAAGAAGTTGTTTTTTTCCATTTGAATGGTTTAATGGGCTCATTTTGTTGTCACTGGATAACGTTTTATACTGTACACAGAGCAGATGATTTGATGAACCAAAAAAAAAAAACTTTTACCTAAACCTACAACATACAGGAGGAAACCTGTGCAGGCACTAGGGCCTCTCTCCCATCAACAAGAAACAGACTCCTTTCTGAGTCCTGACCCTGACATCAAAAATAAATTATTATCAGAGCAAGAAAAGTTTGTTCAAAGATACAACCAGGAAACATCAGGTTTTCAAATGGGAACTGTGGCAACATCAGTGGGTTTGTCATATTCTACACATTTTAAAAGAGCTTCATTTTGAATTCTGCAACTGTCTCTGTTGATGAGAAATCTTTAATTATTGTGGTTCTGCTTACATGTTTAAATGGTCATGAACATAGGGACATAAAGGTGCAACACACACCTGAGAGAGGTTAGCACTTGAACACAGAGTGAGTTGTCTAAACGGAGACAGAGCAGCAGTGTGAACAGACTGCTGGAGATGAGGTGGCACTACAGGATCCCCTGGTGCCTGTATTATATCACTACCCATGGCACTTCAATTGGTTAATATTTTATAAGATGTGCTTATTCAAACAAGCTCTACCACTGTCAGCAGAACCAGGCAAGAGACTGTCTGAGTGTGTGTGTGTGTGTGTGTGTGTGTGTGTGTCCACAACCATGTCCCTCAGCCTTCAGCTGTGAGCTGAAGTGACAGCACACATCCCTCCTCTCCCAGCCCGTAGTGGCAAATTTCAATTTTTCTTCCAAAGCCACTCACTTGTCAGCTTAGTTTGTCTTTAGTTCTGACACATTTCCCATTTCACCATTTCACTATGAACACATGTTTAAGTCTCACAAACTGATGAGTTTTGATGTTTCACCACAGACAGTTTGTGAGCTGGAACATGATAAAATGTCTCTATAACTGGAGAAGAATAATCACCTAACAATGGTTAAACTACTACTGACTTTATTCTTGTTTGTTAGTGTTCAATTTAATGTATAGTGTAAAAAGTAAGAAGACTTTCACTTTGAAAGAAACAGAAAACTACTTTAACCATTCTCAACACCTAGAAGCATCGCTTTGCTGTGATGTTGGCTGAAGTATTAAACACATTTACAAAACTAGACTGGCACTCAGTAGAGCACATACTTCCATTAAAGCCTAACAGTTCAATTATTAAACCACATTTAAATTCACTAAATCCAGATTTTAATTTGGATTTCAATGAAATTGCACATACTCATGAAAATCTGTCTCCAACACATTCCTCATTTTTTAAAATCAATCTCTATGAATATTTCTCAAAGAAATAAAGCAAATGTTGAAAAATCTCACAATTTAAAAAACAGTGAACCTTCTCCCCCCCACAGATCTGCCCCCTGATCCAGATCCGCATTATAATTTAATGGGTTCTTCCCTGACCCAAACCAGACCCGTCCAAGTTTCATGGTAACCCGTCATATAGTTTTTGTGTACTCCTGCTGACCAACAGACACAAAACAACCACAGATGAAACCATAAAAGAAAAAAAGAATAAAGCTTCCTGACCTGGCCAAGGCACGTATGCAGCAGCGGGACATGTTGATGAAGGACGAGGACGAGGCTCTGGTCTGTAAGGTGGTCTCGATGCCCCTCAGCAGGTCATTGGTCTTCAGCAGCAGCAGCATCTGACGGGGCACTCGATTCAAGAGCTCGCTGATCTGGGGCAGGTACAGAGCCGCGTTGGTCCGAATCTCAACATCCTACCAAAGGATAGAGACAACAAGCCAAGATGCGTCTTTACTGGTTACATTATGTATAATCACATAAAGGACATGCATGTGCACACTCATTGATCTCATGTTTTCTCTGATAATGTCTGACTAGATGTCCTCGGGGTGAATAATCTGTCTTGACCTCTCTGGGTCCATCAGGGCAAGAAGAAATTAACGTTTAAAAGCATAACATGTAAGCCAATCACATAACTTATGTATGAAACTAGAAATTGTCTTTCCACTGGTGTATCTGTTAGACTCAAGCAGCTGAATGACAGAAAATCAAGAGCAGTGGTCAGCAGCAGAGATAGAACAAGACAGAACTCCACCTCCATCCATGGCTGTCATCTGTCAACAGCTGACCATTGTTCTTCCCAACAAAAACACATCATAAGTCCTGAGCAGAGCCATCACACGCTAGCACAAACCTCCTCAACCACACTTTAAAAATGAAACAGGATCTACTCTGGTAGGAGTGTTTTCCCCTTCAGCACCAGCATTTCCTACTGAAATAGCTTGTAATGCGATGTAATGTGTATAAATGCTGAATTTAAGTTTGTGAAGGCTACACGTGTATGTGGATGCACATGAAGAGGCGTCTTTTCTTTGGATTTAATCTTGATTTCTTGGTGTTTTTATGAGACATATTTTGATGCTATTAGTTTCTCATAATTTCTAGTTGGTCAGACTATCGCCCCCTCCACTGAGAATATGTTTTCTTCATTTTTGTCTGGTAACAAGTTTGCAAGATTATGTCAAAGCTAAGGGTGTATTGCTACGAAACTTGGTGGAAGGCTGCGGTATGGGTCAGGGAAGAAGCCATTATATTTTGGTGCAATCTGGATCAGGTGGCAGGTCCAGGAACATTGGTTCACTTTCTCTAACATTGCAAGTTAGGTTGGTTTTGACATTTTCTTTGATTCCTGAGATGATAATTCATGGAGTTTGATGAAGAAAAACAACATTTGATGCATATTTATATGGTGAATTTAAATGTTGTTTCATAGGGCGGAGGTATGCACTCTACTTAGTGCTAGTTTTGTGTATGTTCATTTTGTGTTTTATAACATTTTGTGCAATTTCATCATGACTTAGGTAAAAGCTTGAAATAAGCCCAATGGGCTGTCTGCCTCTCCCTGTTCTCTACATTGTTTGTTATAAATTCATTCTGTATTTTTTAAATTGCGCAAAGTAAAATACAAGAGAGAATGAATGAGGACAAGAAGAGTCTGGCGGATGATATCTGCCTCCATGACGGCTATTTGATCCTTTTGAATCTGAAGACGGTTGCTTATGTGAATGCCCCTCTCCTGCTCTGTACTCACTTGAAAGTCCTCTGTGCACATCAACAGGTCTAAATGACACCATCAGTGATGGAACACGACCAGAAGAGAAATCAGGTGAAGGCTACAGGAGCAGTAATCAGTGGCGGTGATGTTGTGATTAAAGCAAAGAAAACTATTTCACTCGTCTGGATTGTTTACAGTACACACTGGGGACACAAAGGTCCTCACATTGTACTGCCTCTTTAGATGAGTAACTACTTGACTGCGGTCGAGTATGCAACATATATAATTACACCCTCTGGGCGTTCCAGAGAAAATTTCAGGCACTTCTACATTGGCTTCACTATTATGATCTACAGTATATGCTCTTCACTGCTACACACCTGAAACCCCTGAAAGTAAACTGCAGCATCCTCTGGGAAGAAGTCAAAGGTCATTGACAAGTTGCCTCGTCCTTTAGGAGCATAGATGGGCCGAGAATCGCCAGTTTGCCAACAAATGTGTGAGAAAAGTATTGAAATGTTTAAAAAAAAGTGTTCCTCAAAGAAAGATAGGGAGAGAGTTGGATATTTCATCATCTATGGTGCATAACATTATTAAAAGATTCAAGGAATCCGGAGGAAGAATCAAAATCGATGCTTATTTTGATGTCAAACATCAAATAATGTGCTTTTGTATTGTTTTTACTGTAATACAGGTCAAAGATAATTTATAAATCACTGTTTTATTGAACACAGAAGAAATAAGTTGTTTCATAACTTATCCTACAGTATCTGGTTGTAGCAACTAAAGCACATATGGCTCCATTTAGGCAACTCCCAAACACTTTATTGAGATTCAGGAAAGTTGGTGGTCTTGGTCAACTGTTTAAAAGGTCAAAGGTGACTGCAAACAACAGAGGGAGTTTAAATGAAATCAAATACCATATGCAGCTCTGGACATCAACCCAGGTTCCTACTGTCAAAGTGCTGTGATTTGTACATTCAACCACCCATCCCCCATGTGTTACACAGGTAGTATCTGCAGGTTTGTAGTGACATGGGAAACTACCTGAGTAGGAGATTTCAGCATCAATTATTTTTTTTGAAAAATAACTCCTTTTGGACACGTTAGCGGAATGGTTACAGCACACGCCACATAACCACCACATCCATCATATTGCAGCCTATTTTGCAAACGTTAAGTGGATACAAGGAATATCAAAACTTTTTCATAGCCTTGTTGTATATGTATTTATCCATTGTGTGTGTGTGTGTGTGTGTGAGACAAACTGTCAGAGCTGTCATTGCAGATAAACAGAGAGTTGACAGGCACAGAGAGAGACAGACAGCAAGTCAACATCCTGACACAGATAAACTCTGTCTCTGCTCTCTGTCTGTCTGTCTTTGTCTCATGCCGACAGGAAGTGATGTGATTTAACAACACTGACGCAAACAACATCTGATTCAACGGCATTATCCTCTACCTACAGACACACACACACACACAAGTCCCAAGAGGGCTGCATTGTGATTTGATGTCTGACAGACACAAAGGAGACACACAGATACAGTGTGCACTTGTAAACGTGAGAGTACAAATGGCTCCATGACTGTATTTTCCGATATGTGTTTTCAATATCAAATGGTTAAGAGGTATTACAGTATTATCTATCTTTGTATCAATGCCTGTTTCATAGAGTACTCTTTAACAACTACCCATAACTACTTCACTCGAGAATCACTTGTGACTTTGCTCATTCGGAGCATTTTTCCCTTGGTTGAGTTTCTTTTTACACTCAGAAAGAAATCCCAGTGAACTGACTCACTCCAGAGAATGTTGACTGCATATTGGTTTGATCTGTCTGGGGCAGCAGCAGGGAAGCAAATACAGGGGGGAGGTACCTCATTCCTCATTGCTAGTCCAAGTAATACCTTGGTTCATTATCTGGCTAGCTGCAATTACTTATAAATGTGCCACAGTTTATTTGCGTCTGATTAAACTGGGCTAGAAACTCCAGTTCTGAAAACATTCTAAAAATTATAACTTGTTTTTGCTGTGACCGTGGTGTGTCCAGTCCTGTTCTTGGTGGTCTCCATTCACATTGAAACTACATTTAATGAAAGGGCAACAGACAGCAAGAACTAAACCACAATGCTGGGAGCATCTTCAGCTACAACTTCTTTTTTTTTCCATTTATGCACAAAAATAAAAAGATATGCAATCAGAAACCATATGATTAGGAGGGTACCTTATTGACCACAGCCTAATAATACCAAAGTGCTCTACAAAATGGAGGCATCCACAGGAAAACTCCCTGTGTGGAAAACATTCAGTGTTTAATTCTATAAAGCTTGGAGGGTCTGAATCCGTTTGAGACCTGAAGCCGGAGAAAGCAGCGGGTGAGCAAACTGTCAATCACGGCTGTCAATCAACACCCACATGGCAAACACAGTCACGAAGCAAAGTTTTACTGCTGTGAGATTACATACGCTAAACTTAATGCAAAAGCCACAAATGTGCGCTGTGTATAGGTGTGTTTACGCATCCACGCAAGTTGAAAATTATTCAACTTGAGTGCAAAATTGTCATGCATTGCCAAAATTATCAGCATTGACATTTTCTGGACTTCTGCAAGAATAAGAATTGAGATGCTGTCCCCATCCATTGGCACACGGAATTGTACAATACAATTTTTATGGTGCGGCAAAAAACTAGAACTTGATGATGATGATTCAATCCGTCTTGGACAGCTCTAAGTTAAGGTATGCATCCGAGACATATTGAGATCTGATCACTCTCACACCTTCAGCCGTGGTCTGGGACGCACATGGCCACGTTCTTTAAGCAGTGTGTGCTAATGTGTTCAGGGCCACATTGAAGGACCGCCTACTCATCTGACGTCCTCTGCAAAAGAACACAAATATGCGCTTGCTTGCATTGGCATATAGCTGAAGCTGATTTTGTCAACAACATCAGAAAGGTAAATTATAAGGCGACAGCCAGCTTAGACAGAACCATTTGCTTGGAACACGCCAAGGAATAAATCTAGTCTATATTGGTTTGATTTCTTCTTCTTTTTTTATTGTCCGGTCGACTAAACATGGGACTGTACCTCCCGCGTCGCATTTGGTCTTCACAAAGAAAATTCTGCATGGTTATTTACACATAGAGCAGGAAGTGAACGCCGATCACAAGTGGTCACCCCAATCGTACATCGACGCCATGCACTGTATGAAGAGGTTTGTTATTTATCATAACTAAAAAAAAACAAAGAAAAAAAAAAACCAGAGCTTCCAGGCTTAAGACATACACATACAACATAATACCCCATCACAAACACCCAGCCCCCACCCACTCCAAGTCCAAATAACAGGGGGCTGGGTGTTCTGAAGAGCTCGGCTGAGTCCTGCTTGGGGAATAACAATTACTAGCAATTATAGGAGGTTGGTTAGCAGGCCTCACAGCTGTCAGCAGGACACAGAGAGGGCGACAGTGCTCTCATTTGCATCTGAAAGCTTCAATAAGGACATATTGTATTGCAAGTGATGCGATAATAAGCTGCGCAAAAGGCAACGCAAATGCATTCGGGGGAGGAGGAATCTGTGGCGGTGATTTTTCTTTTCTCCCCAGTGCAGCAGAGAGTTGGCAGAATGATTTCATTCAGCCGCCAGCAGATATTAGAAAACTGTGGGCAGAGACAGAGGGAAGAATATCAGAATCTACAGTACGATCAGCTGTAACCAATGGCAGTCTGAGTGGGAAAATGCAACCGTGCTCAGGGCAGTGAATTAATTGCACTAAAGAAATGCAAATCTCCACTAGTACGTGGTGAATTTTTAGGTTTTTCTTCACAATGTCAGAGGTGTAATTACTCCAAATGTCTTGTTGACTTGAATATAAATGTTTCCTGATTTAAGGATGTTTGGCCCCATTAATGATGAGGCAACTAATGACAAACTTCGCCTCTACCCAGACATTTCCAAAGTTGGTGTTGGGTCTGAAGCGGAAATCTCTCAAGTCTCTTGGACCTGTCAAGGCTGTGGGTCACGTGAGGAGACACACATAAAAGACACCAACGGAAATGTCAACATGGAAAGACAGATATTCTAAAAGCTTTAGGTGATAAGAGCCAATGACAGTGTGATGTGCTGTAAATGAGAAAGTGATCTCTGCCGCCCCCCCCTCCTGCTGCATTCTGTATAGCTACTTTCAGATATGCACTGAACTCCGGAGGTGGATGTGTGAACGCAAATATTCGAGTGAGTACTCCTGCGGTCTTTCTCCGGCCAGCAACCTAGTATACAGTCTGCGGAAACTTTAGAGGAGCTCAACTGTGAATACAGCAGGAGATCTCTCACCAGTTATCAGACTGATGCCCAGTCACGCTAAACAAACAGCAGAAGCAGATGAGTTAGGGTGCAGACATTTCTACTCCATCTGTGGTGACTTTTGAATTTAGTGATTAGGCTCTGTTCATTTTAGTTAAAGGTACAGTGTGTAGAATTTTGTGATATCTAGTGTTGAAATGTCATGTTGCAGCTGAACACCCCTCACCTCACCCTCTCCTTCCAAACATGAAAAAGAACCAGTGGTAGCTTCAGTTGTCATAAAAACTCAAAAGGTGTTTAGTTTGTCCAGTCTGGACTAATGTAAAAAACATGGCAGCCTCCGTAGAGAGGGTCCCCTCGATGTAAATATAAAGTATTTAAATATAAAGGGACTTTTCTGGGGTAAAGAAAACTACAATTCATACAATTTAGATGAAACTAACTAGTGAAAACATCATGAGGATTATTCTACATTAAATTTCTGCCAATAGTTCCCTTTCACCTAAATCTTACACACTGGACCTTTAAGCATTTGATAATTTAATATGTATGGTGATGGTTTTGTAAGTGGTTCCAGTCTGTTCTTATTCTTTTTCACTTGTAATGCACAATTAATCCTAAAATGATGTTTCACACAAGATACGTTCTTGCAGAATATAATCAATTAAAATCATGAATTGGCCCTAAATTTGAGAAAATAAAAATATTGGTGGTATCATCTCGCTCTACGTAGACAAAACCGACAAGTCAAACCACCACCTGGTCATATTTTGAACACATTTTTCTGTTTTCAGTGATTGGAAGAGAAACATTGATTAAAAAAAGAAATGTTCCTGCATATGAAAGAAAGGCAGGAAAAAGCCAGAGCTCTAAAAGCACTCAACATCTGCTGCATGTGACTGCATTAACACTAATGGAATGCATCCCTCACTTGATGAAGCAGGAGTTAAAAATGATACATGCATTAAGTGGATGGAGAGGACACAATGAAAAGAGGGAACATAACGAAGGAAACAGCAAATGGGGGAAAAAAAGGAGAAGTCGGAAGAGATGAAAAAGACAAAGCAAAGAGGACGAGTGGTTGTGGCAACAGAAATGTCTTGAAATGTCTTCTTAGCTCCAGAGTGCTGCACAATCAACAAGTATGTTCAAGAAGAGGGCACTTGAGTGGATTCCGCCTAATGGTGTGTGTGTGTGTGTGGGTTTAACAACCGGGGACATAAATGACAAAGGTTGCCTACATTGATGGAAGTGCTTTCATGTCAGCTTAAGAGGGGGACAGGGGGAGGTAGAGAAATACACCTTACACACATACTCACCCTGGAATAGTACTATGCTGATGAGTGCATAACATTCCTTAAATAATGTGAAACGATCCAGCTTCTTTGCAAGAACAAGATGGATATTTCCCCCCCTGAAGCCTCCTTCTAAAGCTGTTTGTCCTCGTATGGTCTTTGTAGTGTTGTGCTGCATGAATCCACAAACACAGTGTAATGACTTCAGTGTCTCATGTGTTGACCTGCACACCACTTAGCAATCATCAACACAATCAACTCATATTACCTCGCTGTTTCATCCATACCATGATTTGCATTACATTGCATTTCCCTGCATCAATCCAAATCTACACAACATTATAACACTTTTAAATCTGACCTCACAATTCCTCCGACTGCTCCATACAGTCCATGAATCCATTGTATATTTGGCCACTTGATTCTCAATGTGCTTCTTTTGGGAATTACCCTGCGATCATTAAACACAAGTGGAAGAGGGTAGATTTGGTAGCTCATGGAGAGCTTTACCTTTGAGCTTTGCTCCTACTTCACTGTGACAATCTGGTCCAGTGCCTGAATCTGACTAACCATAATTCAGTCAAACAACAAGGGCGAAGCCACTGCATGCACTAACTAACTAACAGCTAACACACTCATATTTACTTACTGGTATTCAGACCAAACACACATATGATGCCACTGTTGCACAAATGAAACTGTTTTCTGACCTGACATCTCCACTTGGTTAGGGTTAGCAGACCTTGATGGTCATGATTGAAATAATAAACCATTTGGCTCAAGTTGAGTTTGGCTATAATCAGCACAATGAAAAGAAGACAAGCTTCTGCACATTCTCAAGCTCGAAAACATCCTATTATTTCCTCCACGATGGGACTTAAAAGCAAATGCATCTCATTCGTGGGCATCTGCTGAAATCCAGACCAAGATTTCCATCTCTTCTGAAACAGGTCTAGCCAATCACAACCATTTATTTAAAATGGGGCAGGTTTGATTCGATGATGGGCAGAGTGGCCTCGCTGAGGCATTCTCTTGAACAACAGAGATGGTTGATGTGGACAGGTCTGATGAATCTGCTGTGGCAGCAGTATTTAATGCATTGTATTGTTTATTTTCTATAGAAGGAAAATGCACTTAAATTGTTTGTTGATACACTACATCAGTTTCACCACTGTGATTAGTTGTAGGTCTGTCCAGTTGCATCCAGCAGCATCTTGGTCAGTTGATAACACCCCCAAGAAATTAATAATGCAAATAAATCTAATGATGCCAGGTCAGAACAGGTTTTCTTGATTTTCTTGAAAGGGCAATCTATGGCATGAACAAAAATTGCCACAAATTATCACAGATAATATAAATGCTAATATGCAACCACTGATATATTATGAATGACCATAACTAAATAGTGTTTTGGTCAACATCAAAAGACAATAAAATATCATTTGAAAAAATAACAGTTTAATTTTTTATGTGCTGCCCATTTCATCAACCATCACTGTCTGATGTGCCCTACATCTTCATAAATTAAATTTAAAAGTTCAATTCATAACAGAAATATTCCTCAACGGGCTGAGGTGATGAATAGAGATTGTATGGGGAAAATCAGGAGGACCAAGGGAGATGAAATTAAAGAGCAGTAAGCAGTGTAGGCAGCAGAACAGCAAACAGGAAATGAGGAAAAAAGTCAAATCACTGAGCTGTGAGGAAAATGAAGGAACTACACATGAAATCACACACACACTCACACACACACACACACACACACACACACACACACACACACACACACACACACACACAGTATTCAGCGAATGTTGCTTGTTTTACTATGTGGGGCAGTAAAATATCGAAGTGGGGCCAAATGTCAACTCTGAATGATGCCATATGCTGAAGGTACAGACACACTGTTCGTGCAAATTAATTTGTGTATATGTTTGTTTGATACTGATATAATTTTTGTGGTTTACTGAGTTTGTTTTACATTTTTGAATAGTTCGACATTAATATCCTTTTACTGGCATGTCTGGTTTTCCAAACCTATTCATTTCAATTTCAGGAATACCAAAGAAGTCATGAGAAGTTATTCATGCACCTTGCCCAGTGCTGCCTTGCCCTGCCCATCATGTCAGAGGGGGTGGCACATTGTAGCAGACTGTTGTGTAGTACTTTTGCCAGCTTCAAAATGTTGCATAAGAGAGGTATAAATAAACACGCTCTTGAGAACAGATGGCGTTGTGGAACCCCTGTGGATAAAGGGATACTGAGACACACAAACACATTTTTTTTTTTGGCTGGTGGATTCTAAAAACAATCTTATCTTAAAGAAAAACTTCGGATCTCCAATCCTAGTCATAAACACTTATTTTGCAATAGTGTTTAGTTTGATCCCTAACCATCAAAAGTAGCCTCAAACTCAAAGGACACTCAAGGACTTTGATAGAAATGTGTTTGTAGTTGAGGTTTATGTTCAAAACTCTTATTCAAACTCTTGTTCAAACCTTACCTCAAATTATTTACTTTGGAGCCTGGTGCAGCTGGTTTATTTTTTATACCTTAACTGAACATACGTTCATTTTGCAATGCATTTATTTACACTCACAACTGATATTAAATGTAATATTGAATAGTACAATGTTCATTATGAATTATTTTCAATTGTAAAAACAGAAAGAAAAGGTTTTAAAGTTTGTTTTTTAATTATATTTATAGTTTTCAGTCTGAGAATTGTTCTTATCATTTTCGATGGTATGATTTTTCAAAGTTGGCAAGAATACCTACATTATATGATCATACGATTTCAACATTAGATGCAGTCTGTTTTTGTAGTCTTGTAGTCCATGTTTTTATTATTATTGCTGCTAAGCTATTTTGTAGTCTGATTTGCTTTATCAATCTCTGTAAAATACTGTCTGATATATGTGAACTTAAACTTTTAAATGAATACTGCGTCCATGTTAGTGTGTGAGATCATACCTCATTGTGTGTGACAGGCACAGAGCTGATGCCAGCATTGACTGCGGTCCAAGAGCGAGCAGTAAGGACGCAGGCAAAAAGCGGGTACAGATCTCCAGCTCCCAGTCTGCGGCTGTAGCGCTCCACCTTGGACATGTTGCTGTCAATCAGAGCCTGCCACAGCCGACAGTAGTCCAACCTGAATTCTGGTTTGAGGATCTGGAAAGAGGGGAGGATGGGTGATATTGCTTTTTTTTTTCTATTTAGAATTGTATCTACTTTACTAAAATAATAATTGGTACTTCAAGCTGTAAACAACAACGTATTTTGAGTATTTCTATCTCTTTTTATTGTTGCATTATCTTTTCTGCTGCAATTTGAATTTTCACAAACATTCCTAAGCAGCTGAGCTATCATGTTTACTATGTGAATGAACACAACTGGTGATGTTTGCTAATGGCAAACCTGCAGGGGTTTTCTCCTTGTCTGTGCTCTAGTCACTCTTGTTGGTTGGGAATAGCTCCTGCACGGTGGCGGTTGGTAGGATTCTTCTGACAGTCACACCCTCCTGATCAGTGGCTAATCTGACATCAGGGACTGTCTTTTGCCGCCTTTATTGCCTATTGCCGTGCTCCCATTGGCAGTTCCACCAGGATATAAACCACAACATTCAATGGACCCATTTATAAAAGCCTTGCCTATAGCCCCTCCTGTGGTCAGACAGTAGAGTAACCTGCCTGTCTTTGGTGATTCAAGTATTTCCATTTTAATAATGTTGTGAATTTACATTTTCTTTGTCAGAAGTTATACATCATAGGGTTTCTGCCTTCGATATGTTGACAAATATCCTGAACAATCATTATGATAAAAACAGTTTTTATAAAGTACTACTATATTAATTCATTCTTTTCAATTTCTTCATTATGCATGTGTCAATATTAACATTTACATTACATTCACATTTCCTGCTTTGTTTTAACAAACCAATCAACTACCAGCTCAGAATCCTCTGCCACTTCCAACACATACACAATGTGTAGTTCCTTCCTGGTAATATTACAGGAAATGTATGTGTGTGAGTGTGTCTATGTGTGTGTGTGTGTGTGTGTGGATTAAGATTCTACTCCAAAATGACAGCTGAAATTTGAAGTCATTAGCGAATAAATTGGTGCCATTATGGTCAAAGGGAGGTCGCTGTGTGTGTGCGTGTGTGTGTGTGTGTATTGTGTCTGCATTGTGTGTCTCAGAGAATATTTATTACTACATTCCCTTCATGAATACAGGAACAAGCAATAAACAAACTCATGTCAGACCTGTGGGTGTTTATAAAAGCGAGTGTGTTAACAATCAAAAAGCATGTGCGTGTGTGTGTGTGTGTGTACGCAACATGAGAGTACACATACAGTATATGCCATTATAATTAAGGCTGTGGCGAACCAATCCAAACACAGCACACTGCACTCTGCTAAGAACAACATCAAATGTGCTGTTTATCAAAAAGCTTTTATTCCACTGCAGCGCTAATAAAAGTGTGTGTCTGCCTGTGAGCGTGTGTGTGCTGTTCAGTTTTTTCATGTGCATCGCCACTGTTTGTTTGCAGCTCCACCGATACACTCAAGGCCTCCGGCAGCAGCATGAAAAATGGATTGCAATATTGGAACAAATGGTATTTTCTTATGTCTGCGAAGCCTGGAGATCTCCCACCTGATAAAGGCCGTGATCAAGCAGGACAATCTCTGTCTTCCTGTTCTGGGGACACTTTCGGACCAACACGTTGCCTGGATGCGGGTCACAGTGAACAAAGCCGTGGACGAAGATCATTTCACTGTACATCTTACCCAGGTTCTCTGAGATCTGGAAGTCATGAAGTGAAAAAAAAGAGGAACATTAAGTCCAAAGAGATTCCACATTTTCTGCAGAGGTTGTACGCCTTCACGAGCCAATCAAGTTGCTGTTTACATGTCTGTCCAACATATTTTCAGTTCTGGCCAACATTGTGTGTTCTAAAGTGACAGTGACCTTTGACCATCAGTATGTCATTCAAGTGAACGTTTCATCCAAATTTGAAGACGTTTTCTCGAGGCATTTCAGGGATACTGTGCTTATGAGGGTCACTGTGACCATGACCTCTGACCAAATTCTAATCAGTTCCCTCCAGGCATTGCTGGTAAATCACTTTCACAAAACATACGTTCATAGTGACCTTGACCTCTGACCATCAAAATCAAATCAGTTGAATCTCATCACATTTGGTTCAAATTACAAAAAATTCTCTCACGGCATTTAACAGACTTTACGTTCATAAGGGCGGATTGGACGGACAGATTGATGCACAACCACACATTTGTGTTTCTGTCTAGCTGTGGTGGATGTGGAGACATAAAAGATGGATGAACACAAAAATAACAAAATATTATTAAATAAATGAACAGCTGATCTAACTAGTGTGGCAGAACTTTAAGTAAGTGTAAACAGATTGGATGATTAACATCATTATCATTATAATGATTTATGAATGTGTTTTAAGTGTGTTATCCAGCTCCCATCCATCCCGACAAACACGCTTGATATTTCAAATAAATGTCAATACAGATTGACAATTCATTTTTCTTTCTATGACGTTTGTGTGAACAGACAGTGGCTCAGAATATTAAAAAACATCTGATGTCAATATGTTCTTAACGCTTTTCACTAAAGTTTGATCATGAGAAAATTAGAAACAAATACATTCAGTAAGACAGTATTTTTTGGTTAAAAGTGGTGGTAACTTTCCGCGCCATGCAGAACGGAAAGTCATGCTAAAGCATCTAAGAAGAAATATGAGGAAATGAAATATTTCAAATTGAATGTCATAAATGGAAATATCAAAATTCCAACCCTAACACAAATCTTATTATGAAAACAAATCTGACTCAGCTGCTGTCAGTCAGTGAGGCAGCAGAGGCATCGAACTGCAACTTACAGATCCAGGATTCGGATGTGTGGTTGGTGCTGAGGGCGGCAGTTCCAACCAGAGTTTAACCGTTTCTCTGTCTCTTTGCTTTGCAGAGTCAACGAATAAAAACAACAGCTTTTTTTTTTTCTTATATACATTCCGGGAAGTCTACTGACAATTATTCTGTCCACTGAATATGTCAGTGGCTTTGATAGTATTTCTGACAGTGTAAGCTCTGGTGAGGATTCAGCGGCTGGCACCCGCTGCTGCTTTTTCACAAACTCAGTGCAGCCGTGCTGCTGACTGGACGGCTGCTTCTGAGGGCAGCGACTGTGCTGTGTCAACGGCTGTTTCCTCATTGATCATTCATTTAAAAATAATATACGTGTCTATGCCTACCCCTCCACCAAACCTTACAATGGTACAACTACAGGATTGTATGTGTGGCACAAGTGTGGCACAAGACACAATATGCAAAGTGTAACACAAAACACAACAGGTGGACGGAGGTCGGGGTCAGCTTGGATTGAGTCTGAGCAAAATAGAGAGAGAAGGAGAGAGAAATGGAAAGTGGGAGGTAGGAGGAAAGAGAGGGTGAAACTAAGGGACATTACATTAATATACTGGGGGTGCAATGGTTGAACTGCTGTAAATGTCTATTCTATAAATATATGACTCGATTGTCAAAAAGATGGTTTTGTAGTTTTCCAGCTATAGACTTGTCAGAAGACTGAGAGACCCTGTCCCTTCCTCCTTCTACACCCCTGTTGTAAAGAATTAGGGTCAAACAACCCATTTTCTCCTGTCAAAATGAAATTAAACCACAGTTTGTCTCTGTAACTAGACCTATTACACAATTTTAAATTTAGGTGATTCCCCCTCACACAGTGAGTAAATGTTGACAGCAAAGCGAAGCGAAGACGTGTATTTTAAATATTTTCTTGTACGGATAGTCTTAATCAGCTTCTTTCTTCTCTGCGCCATAATGGCTGTGATTGCGTGCAGAAATGTCTCCATCTATTTGACAACACAGGCCCTGCAATTCCCCCTAACAACTGAATACAGAAAGAAAAGCTCGTCGACCTGCTCTGACCAGTTGGAGCACAGGCCACACAAGAAACTCATCTCGGCACCGAGACAGCATCAGCACACTGCAGGATCAGAGGTGGGGGCTCGAGGCAGTCTCAGACATGAGATTTACTACATTAATAAATGACTTTGACTCTAACTGTTTTTTATGTGAGACAGACTTTACTTCTAGATCTAGAGTTAATGGTTTTATTGCTCAGTTAATAGATCAATTATGGAGTGGCAAATTAAAGTTAAACATTAAACATGAATATTTTTCTTTGATAAAGATCACTATTTTTTACTAAATGTGAAATAATTAACATTCCTAACATAATCAGTGTAGTAACAGTTCCCTGTAGTCACACAGGTGCAAAATCGGGTTGAAAGATTAGTCATTACAGCATTTTCCTTTTTGGCAATGTTTGCGTAGCAGAATACTGGAAGTACTGTTGACTATGTATGTATACAGTCTAAAACACACACACACACACACACACACACACACACACACACACACACACACACACACACA